TACGGATTTACGGAATTACGTAATTATTTCGAGTTACGGTAGCGAAGTTACGAATTACGTAAATTCGTAATTATTGGTGGAGGGAGCGCTTTCGCGATTGAAACGAGCTCTCTTTAGAGCAGTCAATTCCGTCGATTGTAAAAAATTAAAGTTTAATAAGTAGAAGAAGTTAGAGTTCCGGTATTCGCAGCCGTTTTTCTCTCTCTTGTTACGCAGATGGAGAAGGCATAACGCGTTGCCATTTACTAACCTATTATCAACTTATCTAGCATGGCAAATGTACATATTAAGCGTAGATATGGGATAGAATTGTGTGGAGACCGATGGATGCCAACACACCTGGTTTCAACTTCTTCGGGTGAAATGACTAAAGAATGTAAGAGATCAACTTACCAAACATGGTCTATTTGTAAATGCCGTGATAATTAATGTCGCGCTTATCAAACAGCAATATGACGACGGAAGAGAAATTGCGTAATGAACCAACGCAACTTAGTCTTTTCGGCATCGGTAAAGCGATTCAGACGGCAGAGAAACAACGAAAAGACGGGATTTCTCATGTTTATTCTGCGCGAGATCCATTTTCTATTACAAAATCTTGATGTTCTGTTACCGGTTTTATCGTTATATATCTGTCCGGACTTGGCCTTGTTTTCACAATGCCTCGCGCTATTTCGGCCAAATATGTCTTTACCAAATGCGGCAACTTATTTTGATTTATCGTCGACTCAAATACCACCGGCACTCGACCAAACTTGTGTCAATCTTAGCCGATAGGATTGTCGACTTGAATTAGAAAAGTAAATTAATATTTTCGTGAGTGCAAAATAAATGTCACCAAATGCATTGTTTTGCGATATAACTTTGTATTTTCGGCATGTCATATAAGTACGGTATTTAAATTATGCGAAAATAATTAATATTTGATCTAAATTTATCGCAAATAATGTTATAACATTCAGGCCGCGAAATGATTTAATATAAAATGAAGCATGGTAATCGGAACATCGTCAATAAGTCGGCATCAATAATTATTATAAAATGCTAACTAGGTAGTAAAGTCGGATAATGTAAAAAAAAACGGTACAATAACAAGTCTTCGTCGCAAGGCAAGCGCAAGTATAATCAAACGAGAGAATACCCTCGTCGTTGATTCATAAATTAGAAACCCGGAAGTTTTATTTAATACGAAACTCGTATTAATACGTTAATACGATTTAAAAAAAGTCAACTATCGTTTCATAAATATATTACCACTTACCAGTGTTGGTAATGATAAAATTGATCCCATAAAATTGGGTGATAAAGTTGATAAAGAAAAATCAAAGCTAACACAAAAGATAAAAATCAGAATAAAATTAATTTGAATTCACTCCTTGATATTTGTCTTTAGCATCTGTCGCCGGCGTGTAGTACTGGCGGAAATATGGAAACCAAACTGTCCCAACTGTCGATGTCCCATTCGGAATAGAAGTGGATTAAATTGGTTGTTATGATAGGTTTAAAAGTGTGAAAAAATATCGCAATTACGGGGTCATTACGTAATCGATTTGGCCGTAATTACGGAATTGATTTTTGTCAATTACGTGCAAGCCTATACAGCATGTATTTTAAGGCAAATCAAATATGGATGGATATTAATATAAAACGTTACTTTTATTGATCACATTCGACAAAAAAAGCTTCTGTGCGAATCTTTCTGAATTACAATTTATTGCAAAATACGATTAAAAAAGTTTTTTGTTGAACATTCGTAATACGTGTGTAATGTATACGCTTCAGCGTGTTACACAATACCATTCTCGTTGCCGTATCTGTGATACGATCAATATTTTTAAATCGTGCTTACGTAAAGTTATTATTTTGGCAAGGTCAAGTTACTTAAAACTAGAAGTTAAAAACAAATGTAAAATTTAAGAGATAAAGTCGATCATTGAGTCCTACGTTTTCGATGAAGTTTGAAGCATCGCATATTACAACATCAATAATGCGTTAATTCATAATTCCCGTACTATAAAAGGTTTTTATTCACTCACACACTTCGTAAATGCATTTTATTCATTCATTCTATAATATCCTCAATATAAAATGCCAAATTCGTCGATATGATATCAATATTGCCCCATATCGGTATCTGATTCTCGTGGACCAAGTATCCGTACATCTACATAACAATTCACCAATTTTTGATGAACTCCTTGTCTAGCATACTCGTAAACAACATTCTAGGCATGCATACTTCTCCATATGCTTTATTCGTGAAAAAAAATTTAAAAAGCGGATATCCTATTATAAAATATGAGCTCAATAAATGGATTTATTGAATATAAAGGAAGTCATTGTCATTGCATTTAAATAGGAAGTTGCCTAGATTAGTTTGTAGTTTATCATACTTTATTGAGCACGAACTGACAATTTATTCGATTCAGAAATACAACAGTGATTATTATACTACTTCCTTTTCGTATGATATGAAATTTTCCAGCAGCATATGTCGCCAGCATATCTCCTTCATTGTATCTCCTGCAGCCCAGAGGGTCCAAATTTGGAAACTCACAAAGAATGTACTTTCTATAATAGAAATCACGACGCGTTGGAAAGAAAATTTGACTTTATTAACTGCAAATTACAAAAGCCAAAAGTTGGCCAAATGTTTTCCTTCCGAGCAGTTGGACAACTATACCTTTAATATCAGAATCAAGATTAGGATATATTGGCTAATAGCACGTAAATATCGATTCTTTCTAGACTATTGAACACGCCGTTTGTCATTTATTTAAAGAAGTAGATATACCAGCTTTTCAAATGCAAAAATATCAAGATTTTCATTATGAAATCTCTTTATAACCTTAACAGAACTACTGAGTTTCTTTTTAAATTTCAAATCGAATCGCCTCGACTTGAACGATCCTATATACTTGGATTTGGTCTAACCGTGTCTAATTTTACCGTTTCACTCTAAAATAGTTATTTTTGAACCATTCCTGAATTCTGACGTCGTTGTTTTTCAACGTCTTGGTTGGTCCTTGTCCATTCTAATGTGCCATTAACAAGCAAAAACGAAACTAGATGTTTTTCTGCATGAATGCACAATAATGTTGCTATCGATCTAACAAGGAAAATTTTGCGCATTCGTCTTTATATCTTTCAAATAAATATAAATTGTGACATCATTATTTTTGCGAAGCTTGATATTTCACCCAAATTTGGCTATTCTAAGAATATTGCGCTGCTACGCTGCCACGTACCATTACGTCAGATCAGTCCGACATATCTCTGACAAAGCCAGTGCTTGCTTCTCGGCCTTGGTCTTATCGATAGCGATATCAGGATATAAATTTCTGCGTCGGTAGGACTTGATTTCAAATTTTCGTTTGAAGCTTTCGAATGATCAGATGGAGGATTTTGTCCTATGGCTAGGTATTGAACATTACCAGAACAGACAACCTAGCAAACCTGTTAATTAATGTTATGAATTCGAGATAATACACTTAAGCATTGTGAGCAACAACATTATGTGACCAGCATTCTTTAACAACGTCAAACACAGTTCAATCAACGAAATCTCAACATTTCAAATATTCTGAACTATTATAGACTTGTCCCTAATGTCAGCTCCGACTACATGAAATGGAAATAGTTGACGATCTGAGTTTTACAAAAAAAAAGTAGCTAAAACAGAATGCAGACTAGCTGTCGAACAGGAGGTGATCTAAACCCTTGTTGTCTCAGAATTTTCGTTTCAAATTATTATATATACTTCAAATTCTTATTGGACATGAAGTGTACCTACGGATCGCTTTGTCGTCGTTCTAGTTGGTAATGTTGTGAAAAAATCGACTTTCTCTTTAATTACTGAACACATTGATTGGGAATTTTCTTGGTTAAAGATTTATTCTTTAATGGAAGGCTATTTATGTCAAAAATTTTTGTGGCCTCTACGGGATTCGTGTTTTGTGTTCCGTGACGTCATCAGAAATGGCGCTTTTTGTGGCGGTTCTGCGTTCGCGTTAGTCGTGCAGACTGTGCTAGGGTTATTTTACTGTGATAGATTGTATACCCTTACTACTTCGTTATGGTCTTCGTGTCCAGATATTTGAGCATCGCTCTCTTGTTTAAATCTTACCATGAATTTTCACCTAGGATAAAATTTTCGTATTTATACCCATGGAGTTGTTCATTGTGAAAACTGCCATAAAAGTAAAAACTTGTTAGTTTTTGTTAGTAGTTATAATACAGCAGTTACGATACAGCGTGAGAAAAATAGGTCTGTGTTAGTTTTCAACAAGACTCTTGAATAGCTTGTTATCCTTGTATTATATGCCCACTGCACAAAAGCATAGGAGAAGGATAGACAGTAGTTAGTAGTCTCGCAGAAACTAAATCAAGAGCGCAAGTTGAATCAAAATGTGTTGAATCGCGCAGAAAGCGCGCAAATTCATGTTGCTAATCAGGAAACTTTATGAGTACAGTCGGAAAAAGTGAAAAAATTCACATGTAAACCTTTTGTAATTCGCCAATATAGTTATATATCTAAATAGCACTATGGAGGCAAAATTGACGGTGAAAAACAGAGTTTGTGCGTCGGTATCTCACACTTGGTTAGAAATAATACCAAAGTCCACGAAAACGAAATGTGGAATTTCAATAGTCCATATAATGCGCTATTCCGAGAATATCAGTACATTATTTTCATCGCCAATCCATCAGCGAATGTCAGAGAAAAATAGGCACGCGATTTCAATGTTTAAGATATATCGTCTCACTGAATAGTTTTTTAACAAAATTACTTTTACTACATTGTTAACAGTAAAATGTGTAGACATTTCATTTCATCATCTTTTCTGTGTCAATCAAATAAACACGCATACATCCCGCCCAATATAATAATATATGTCGCCTTTCTTCGCCAATTATTAGCAAGACAATTGGTATCGTGTGTACGAAATAGGCATTTAACATTATCAAATAACACACTGTGGAAACATGAGTCAGCTGTGTTTTCTTGATTAAGAAATATCATCCGAGGTCAGGCCCTTTAACTCAGCGTGGCAAGAAGTTATGTAGCTGATATAACAAGGCAATGAAGCACTAGCTTGCAATGGTTTGAGAGTTACTATTGGCCTAGAAGCAACAGCGTAAACTGCAATTCATAAATATTCCAGTTCACTGTTATATGTAATTTAGACTGATTTAGCCTAGAATATATTGTGTTTAAAGTGCCACGTTACAGCATCCATGTGTTTTCAGGAGGCTGATTGATTCATATAGGTTACAGTTTTTAACAGATTTACAATTTATCATCGTATTGAAATTGAAAGCTTTAGCTTTCTTGATTAAATTTCTGAGTTGCCCCTAACACTTTAAGATCATCTGAAGGAGTTGGATACTCGTAACCTACTGTGACAGAATGCATACCCGTACTTGTTCGTTTTGGCTTTCGTGTTCATATTTTTGATCATTTCTCTCTTGTTGGATAAGACGTGTACATGTGGATCGTTTTTTTTTATTAGATTTATTCTTTTATCGCAAGAAAGGATTATTTTAATTTATAAAATTACACTTTGTGTTAAAGTGGTTATTGCCATTTAATCATGTCAACGAACGGAAGTGCGCGTGCAAGAACGGCTATGAGTGCCTCGTCTTCAAGTAGCCATCGTTCGGTACTAGATTACGGAGTGAGTCGTCCCAGTACTTCCTTCAAGTCAGTTGAGAAACACTCTTCAGCATCTCCGAGTAGACAATCAGTATTTCGGAGTGGAAACCGAAATGTATTCACAGGTATGAGTATTTTTGTCGTGCAGATGTTTAATTGTTATATTCGTATTTTACTTTAGAAGTTTGCTTGTTATCAGAATACTTCAATCCCAGTTTGTGTAAAAAGTAAAAAAAAAATTGCCAATTTTCAAGAAAACTCGTCACATGCTCGATGTCAATATTCACCAACTCGACTGAGTGGATTGTTATTGATTCATATCTTTACGTGTTTTCCAGATCTATTAGGAGGGAGTAGTCGTGTGACAAGTTCGTATGTTCCACCACAGAAAACGACGCCTAAAGGTCCAACAGGAAGCAGAATGCTATTCACAGGTATGAATACAACAGTGTTTAAAGATACAATCAATTTATAACCTTTCTGGTGTCGGGAATCTGGTCCGCAGTCGGAGCAGTGAGATGTAAAATATTTGCGTCTCACATTTGCATCACAGTAGCCATGGTTCACCATAGTCTTGTTAGTGGGCTACTGTCAGAAGAAACTTACACACTGAAATACTGTTGCGAGTCGAATTGGTCATGAATTTGTCCTGGTTATTATGACAATGCGACATTTTAATATAATTTTTCCGTTTTATCACATAAAGGGTTAAGAAGATTAACACTCTTATGTTATGTTCATTCTTTCAGGTCCCGATCAATCCGATTCACATCGTATTCAGGTTGGAGACAAAGGAAAATACGTCGGGTTTCGACCATTATCCAAGGAAGTGACATCAGATTCCGAGTATTTGTACAGACCATGCAAGGGCGACGAACCAGCAATGCGGATGCGCCACGAGAGAGTCGGAGAAATAGGGTGGAACGTTCCAAAGCTGTGGAGGTTAAGCAAACTTGAAAAATCACTTGCATCCTGAAACTGAACACAACTTAGCCAGGATGACATGATCAAAACAAGGATAATTGAAACGCCCATTGAATGGCATTGCTAGCCAATGTTTCCTGTTATAATGTGCCCTGTTTTTAAGTGCTATTTGGTATTCTTGTAAAATGAATCCACGAGTGTTCGTGACACAATAAAGGAACAGCTTGGTAATCGATAAAACAAAAATACGCTTTGCATCCCAAACAGCTCCTATCTATCCACGCATTAGGGAGAATAAAGTTGACTATTATTCAAGAATATGACAGCTACTAGCTACATGAAGAAAACGTAAAACTTTCTCACTTTTTTCTCTGAATCAAATTCAAGACCATCGATTGAAAAATCGTGGAATTAAGTATTGCACGCTAATATAACTAGAAATCCTAGAAATAATAATCCTCATCCCATGCATGTTAATGCTTTTTTTTACTTTATTTCTTTTATCATTGTAGGATTGTCTCACTTTTGCTATCAACAAAGGATTTATTTAGAAATAGTTATTAAAGCTTTTGTTTCGAAGTCTGTTGATTCAATTTTATTGTTCCACAGGATAGTTTCAGACTTTATGTTTCAGGCGGAATATGGTCATAGCGTCATAAGAATTGTAGAATATAAAGCCGAAGTTCAATGTTTATATTAGAGCATTTCTTTAAGATCGAAAAAAGTGAAACGTTTCGCTTTTCGAGTTATACAGGTCAGAACGTCAAACACTAAAAGTTTCAGAGATCCGGCCACCATATTTGTTGTAGCATGTTCTTTTTCATTAGATATTAATAATATCCCAATTATTATATTGATGTTTAAACTAAGTCTATAGTTATGCAGGAACAATATAGCTTCATTTTCATCAACTAACACATTAAGTCCTTCCACTTTTATATTTATCCCGATGCTTAAGAATTCGCCGTGGAAAGTCGCTCTTGTATACTCAACCTTTGAAATCCGGCAGTCGAAAATTTTAAGGTATATGACAAAATTAGTCGTGCCCAAGATCAGCAGCTGTCTTTTAAATTTGATTATTCAATTCAAAAATTTCAATATTTAAAAGTTCCTGTGTCTCAGATATTGAATCTCAGAATTTGCTATTTGTCAATTGGTCATGTTTCTCAACCTATTTATGGGTTCACAGAAGTCACACTCACGGGTTTTTAGAAGTAATCAAATATATTTATATTGATTGTATTTCATAAACTTAATTTTGATGTTAGGAATAACCTACAACATTATCATTTCAAATTTTGTCATTTTGAGCATTTGCCATTCGACAAAAACATAAATTTTTTCATTTATCACACTGTTGAAAATTAGCTAACAACTTCAACTAACTCTTCTGCATTACTAGATAGAATGTTTACAAATTTATCTCACCGGAATAGAACCGAGGTCCTATTCTATACAACACTATGCAACCCTGCTTTGAACAATTACAGTAATCTACGGACTTTTAACCTATCTATATCTAGAATAGGGTAGATACGATATCTACGATAGGCTCATTCTAATTTCCTACAACATATTGGACCTCTGGGTTGTGACTGTAAATTTTGTCTCATCAACTACTGACGCGTGTTTCAACCGAGACTATTTTAATTCATAAATTTGTTCAGTGTGTCTCAACTAACGACAGCAGCAAATTCTGCACATAAATACAATATTTATTTACACAAAGATGAAATCGTTTGCATTATCCATAAATTTTATCTAAAAATGCATTTACAACACCATATCAACGTTTAAACTACAACGACTTTAGCACAGAACCTATATTTTATATAAATTCAAAATTATTTAACATTTATAAAATTTTACATCTTTTTTCTCAATATTTGCTCTTAATTAAATCCTTATTTTATAAACAATTCAATTTAATTTTTCAAAATGTCCATACTAAATAAATTCTGGGTAATATACTAGCAATATCTTATAGTTAATTGTAAGTGTACGAGTAAAGCGGTTCTGGTACAAAACGCCGGATTGCCATTTCTGTCTGCACAATTTTCCACTTCTGACAAGAATTCCATGTGACACGGTCTGGGCCATCTTCATCATCAACGATCTCGTCCGGTATTCGGTAATGCTTGATCCCGTATAGTCTTCCATTTAGATTGTACTCGGTGCACCGATTAAACCACCAGCCACCACCGTAGGTATCCGCACAATTTCTGTTCTCCCATTGGTCATTGTCACTATCACGTGCTGTGAACTCCATACCGTTGTGCATGTTGGCAAAATCACGACTTGCTTTTTGATGACTCGCAGATATTGAAAGTTTGAAATTTTCTTGCTCGTCTCCAATAGAAAATTGGCTGTAATTGCAAATAAAATTGTAATTCTGATACATTTTGCGTCAATAATATCTATTCATAAATATTAAATATTATTATTCGAACCATATTTGTGGTGGCGATTAAATACAGTTTGTAGGCTCGCTCAATCAACAATTGACAACGTAAATCGTTATTGTTCAGTTGATTTTGGCGTGTAAAAGGTATATATTGAAAAATCGCCATTAATAGTACGTCGAATATGGAATTATTGTTTTACGTACAACAAAATTGTTCGTTAATAAATAAATTATAAAATATCAAGCATAGCAAAAATTGTAAGATTGTTCAAGAAAAATTAAAAAAAAAACTTACTCAAAATAAGTCGTAAATTTTCGTCCATCTTCTAATTTTACTGTAATCCTGAGCTCATGTGGAAAAGCATCGGTGAAATGATGAATTGCTTCCAAGCCTGATAGTAAAAGAATAGCATTTTGAGTTGATCAAATAACAAGTTTATAGTTTTTTATATTTTAAATTCATCCTGTAACAAAATTTAAATACCATATATAGGTTCTCACCCATCCAGTAGTCTCCTGTTGCCATCCCAAAACCATTAATATACTCCCTCATATCTCGGTCAAAAGATTCCAATCCTAGATATCGGCGTTGGATAACCTGGCACCCAAAACACATCAGTCGTAAATAATTTGATATGAAGACGACGAGGGAAGTTATAGAGAAAATGGATAAGGATAAAATACATTTATATTTAAAAGAACAATAAAGTACTGTTACGATAACAACTAATATACATACCATCCACCCGGCATTTCCTGCTCCTCCGCTGCAGTCGCAATACATCCATGTTCCTTGTGAAATAGGTTCACTTCTCTTTTTGTAGTCGAAAAATGCCGTTTGTCCATGTTCGGCCATGCCAACCGGATAGTTATTACCCAATTTCGAACAAACGTCAATACAATCAGAAGGAGCATCTAAAAAATTAGATAGCCTAAATTTAGTAAAATTGGTATAATCTGGTTGGTGACAATAAAACTGTGAAAAATTCTATAAACGAAATATTTAATATTTGAAGACACTCCACAAAACCAATTGGTAAATATTAATTGCGTTTTGTTTTATCAATAAATAATATATATTGCTTGTTAGATTCTATGGTTTTATGATTGTTAAAGTATTTTTTAATCATTTTTTTAACAATTAACTCCACACCTAATTTTCTGCATCTTCCGCCCCAGTTGGGTGAGGGCGCTAATACAATTCTGCCCTCGGGATCGATTCTAGATTCTCGTGTCACACATCTTAAATATGGTTCGCAATCTCCTTCCATATTGAAGTCACCACCGCATGTTTCACCTTCTTGTTTAGCGCATCTGTTGCAACAGCTGAAAATAAATGTAACTTGGCGTTTATAATTGTAGTTTTGAATACAACTACATTTTAATCTCATTTTCAAAGTTGAACTACTGATACTCTCGAGACTTGCTTTTGCATCAAAAAATTGGAAACAAAATTTGGCATTTTCACTCCGAAGTTTCTCTATAGAGGTTTATAGTAAACATACAATCATTTTGTGATGACACAGTTTAAAACAATCCATGTCACGTGATCAGAGATAATAAAAAAATTGTTGCTACCGTAGAAATAGAAATGGAAACAATTATTCTTCGGTTATACTTACTTGCAAAGGCCAGCTGTTTCGGATCCGGGACAATTGAGTTTTGGACATTTTCTTTTTACTTCTATAGTTTCTCCTTTATCGTTGACCATTAGTTCTTCACATGGAACACAACTCAGTGTTTGCTGAGTGGAACAAAGTTAAGCTAAGCAATATAGACACCCCAAGTATTTTCATGTTCTTTCTTTTTCTATTGTCAAGAGCTAGTTATAAACTGTTAAAAAAACATTTAATGATATTATTTGACGAAGAAAAAAATAATTTAATGGCATATGAGAGTCACTCAATACATATGTCTAAATTTCCATTCCATTTATCAAATTAATAAAAATTAATTTATAATTTTTGTTTTGCATTATTCTACATTATCAAACGGCATATATCGAACAAGAGAAATATTTTTGAATGTCTGATTCTATTCTCGTAATAGTATTTTGGAGATACATTTTCCATCTATATTATAGACTTTCTTTTGCAAAATACTATATTAGTTTTACATTGAAGCATACATTAAACGAAAAAAAGGATTCAAATTCTCTTAACTTATATAGTAACGTTGTTTATAGAAAGTCTGATATAACGAATTTAACTATTAAAAACTGAAAATTAAAAATTACACTATTCATGAATAGAAACTTTTATACGGAGACACTATAAGCAATAAAAGATGCAATTATAGTAACCACTTGCAACTGTGATTGAAGCCGTTCAATTGATGTCGTTTATATAGAAATTTTGTCCTGGTTTTGCTCATTAAAATAATTTTGCACGAAGTCGTTGCAAAATATTTATCAGCCGCGGGTCATATCTTCTTCGCCATATGTCAAGTCATCTGTAGTTTAATTTGTGTATAGGTATCGGTGGACTGATTCTATCTAAGACTGACTGATTTTAAACTATGTTATAAAAATAAATCTGAAGTTGATTTTTTTTTTTCGTTTGACAGATTTCTTTTCACAAACTCGTGAGAAATCGGTTATACAGTTTTTCCAACTATAAGCTATACCAAATCAATAAAGCCTGATTTACCATATGCCCCAGATAATTTTTCTATGTATTGCCGGTTAGATTTTGACGTTTTGAGTTGAAAAGCAAGATGAACATAATAAAAAAATTGGTAAATTCCTGTTAACTTAGCTGGGTATATGTAGAACTAAATTCTTCACCAACCGCTTCATTTTGAATCAAATAATGCGTATGGCTTGATGTGCGCAATTTCAATCGTGACTTCAGAGATTGAAATATTGTTCATTCTGGGCATTTATGTTTTAAATTCGTTCTAAATATTTGAATAACAAAATCAATATATTAATCGGAAACATTTTTTTTCATATATTTATATCATGAAGTAAAGCAGAATAATTTTGCCAGCCTGAAAAAACTTTATATTCTATGGTAATTTTACTTTTTATTATTTAATTTTAACTAATCAAATTGTTACATCTTTTGATTCAATGCGATATATGAAAATAGTTTGATATAACAAATGATATACCAGCAGGTTATTTTTAATTAGTCAAATAAATAATATAAATTGTTGTTAAATTTAATTCGGGTTAAAGCAATAAAATAACGTCATTGTTAGCGTACAGCATTACGCACTGATTGTAACTCATCTATCTGACAAGGCAATTTCTTCTGAACTGGGTCAATATAATTAACTTCACCCTGGGGCGCTCAATTTTCTATATTGTCTTTATCAAATTACGGTGGTATTACTAATTGGTGTGCTAATTTTGAAACGTTCAGATCAATATTGCTAAAAATAAATAGATATAGGCTCAAATAATAAAAAAATACGAGAATGCTTGCT